CTTTATTCTCAGTTAGGCCATTGGATACCACAGAGTGTATGAACTTGTCAACAGTTTACGAATTCCGATTATTAAAACAAACGTTTGGGTTATATAGGCGTCGGTGGCACAGCAGTTAGGACGCTCGCCGACCATGCACATGGTCCGGGGTTTGATCCCTGGCCGACTCACTCCTTTACCTCGCTAAGCCGGCAATACAAAAAGTTGGTCAAGATATATATATATATATATGGTAATATTTCACGAGGATATTTAAATAAACGTGTGAATACATAGAATAATAATAGTAGTGTGAAATGCAATTGACAAGTTTTGATTACCATGGCAGGGACAATAGTTGGACGTATTTCTTTTGGTTACATAGCGTGGGTATGAGCTTTTGAATGGCTAGTGCCTCGGCTATGCCCAGATATCTTAATTTTACTTTCTTTGATAGGTTTGATCAAATCTTGTATATTATTTTGAAGGATTTTTCGAATGGCGCTAGATGTCTTGAAATGATCAGATGTTCTGTTCGTTCTCCTTCTACTATCCAGGCTGCATAGTGTTCACGAGCTGGTTTTGCAAGTTGGCGCATGGAACGACCAATGTACTCAGCTCCGCCTGAGCAAGTTAATTGGTATATGTACATTGAAGTAGCCCAATGCGACAGCTTGTCTTTCGCGTTCTGGTTGAACATTTTCTTGGAGGAAAGCGTCAGTCGTAGGCTTGCTGCGAAGTATGTTTTCCTCAGAGATTTGCAGAGGCGTTTACGAAGGATTTCTGCTCTAAGATCACCTTTGAATTCTAGATATGGCAAAAGTATCTTCTTCAGGACGGATTGGACTTATTCTGAAGTCTTCTTTGATTTTAGATTCTTGTCTATGAACCTAGGCGGAAACCGTTTTCCATTAGAGCTCCTAGGAGATTATGCATTTCTTCATCAATCGCTTCCTCGCTGCATGTTTTCCGAATCCTCGAGGATTTGATTATGATTTGATTATGGTCAAAGTTGAATATCAAGTGGCAAAACAAATAATGTCATCTACAGAATAGTTCATAAGATGTGTAGGTTTTGGAAAGGAGTGTAAAATTATAGGCAAATTATTGGGTAAATAAAAACGGCTACATAACGTGATGTGAAATTTGATAAGATAAAATTTAACCCTGCAGAAGCACTTTTGATTGAGATCGACAAGTGGGACAGGTGATATAATACTGGAGACAGTTCAAAAATGACAATAATAATAGTAACAGTAACAACAAGTAATCATAATCGTAGTAATGAGGGAGAGGTATATAGATTAACTAAATAAACAAATAATAAAAATAATAATCATATCTAAATCTTACGAGCGGGATACGCTTCTCTCTGTTCGAAAGTGGGAAGACTTCGCCAAAAGGCAAGGATCCACCAGAGAACAATTATTCTTTCTCCATGAGTGCCTTCGTCATTCAATCCTACCAAACAGTGTAAGATACAAACCACCAGTCAACTGCCCAATGGGATGGAAATTGGCCGAACAATGTGGAAGACGAATGGTCAAATTAATGATTACAGACGCACATTATCGGATCAACAAATATCAACAAATAATAGATGTCCAAAAAGCAAAATTAGAGAAAACCCTCAACCAAGAACACCTGTCAACGCTGATCACCGCAATTACACTGTCAAGTGAAAACCACAGAGAACAAAGACGAAGAGTCCTCAAAACCAAGCTAGCCAAGATTAGAAAACAACAACCAGACAATACGCCCATAGACTGCGTAGTCAACCTATCAAAACAACCACTATCAAAAATGGAACAACAACTACTACAAAAAGGATTAAACTACAACACCGGAGATGCTTCAAAAACTGATTTCTTCGCTGCCCTTGAATCATTACTCAAATCATCAAACTTGAACGAGGAAACACAGGAAGAGATACGCCAAACAATTGTACCAATGGTCAAACAGAAAAGACAACACACACAACTCAACTCTCAAGAACTAAAGGCCCTCAAAAAGCTGAAAAATAGGAAGGACATCGTCATTTTACCAGCCGACAAAGGAAGAACAACAGTAGTCATGGACAGAGAAGAATACACCAAGAAAGCTGAAGAACTACTCAAAGATGAAGATGTATATCAACAACTCCCAACAAATCCCATACAAACATTGGACAACCGCATCCAAAGGACCTTAAACAAGCTCACCAAAACTGGACAGATCACAAAACAAGACCAATGGCGAATGAAATCCAATGGACCAGTCCTACCTCGATTCTACGGCAGACCCAAAATACACAAGGCAAATATCCCGTTACGACCAATTGTATCACTCCCAGGAACTCCAACATATAATTTATCCAAAGAATTATACAGAAAACTAAAACACCTAACGGAATCTTGTGATCACTCCATCAACTCTGCTATCCAATTCCTAGAGAAAATCAGAGACATCCAAATAGATGAACAAGAAATAATGGTATCCTTCGACGTGACAGCATTATATACCTCTATCGGACAAAAACTAGCAAAAGAAACCATGGAGCAATTACTTAGCAACGACGAACAACTTCCACAACAATCAAAAATGCAACACACAAGCTGGATGGAATGCATAAATCTATGCCTAACAACATACTTCCAATTCAACGGCCAAATATATGAACAAGTCAAAGGAACACCCATGGGATCGCCAATATCAGGTTTGATTGCAGAAGCAGTGATGCAAAGACTCGAAAACATAATTCTACCAAAGATCAAACCCAAGATTTGGATACGCTACGTCGACGACACATTTGTAATAATCAAAAGAAACGAATTAGATAAAACTCACAACTTAATAAACAACGTCTTCAACGACATCAAATTCACAAGAGAAGAGGAATCCGAGAACAAAATACCATTTTTGGACGTCTTAGTCAGGCGAACAACTACAGGAGAATTAGAAACTCAAGTTTATAGGAAATCAACTCACACAGACCAAATACTGAATTACAACAGCAACAACCCAATAACACACAAAAGGAATTGCATACAAACACTATTCAAGAGGGCAAGGACTCACTGCAGCACTCCCACCTTAAGAAAAATTGAAGAAAAGTATCTCATGGACGTCTTCCAAAAGAATGGATATCCACGGAATTTCATCAAGAGACATATACCCCCAAGCCAACCTACCAAACCAAAAGCCACCAAGGAAAGCACAAAGAAAATCGCCTTACCATATATAAAGGATATCTCAGAAATCACTACAAGACTCTTCAAACCTTTAGGAATTGACGTCGTACACAAACCAACAAAGTCGCTTCACTCAATTCTATGTCAACCAAAAGACTCAACAGCGAAAGAAGATAAAACCAACATCATCTACAAAATAAATTGTAACAACTGCGAAAAACACTACATTGGCCAAAGTGGACGTCCCCTTCGTCTTCGTATCCACGAACATAAGCTAGCCGTCAAAAGACATGATATCCACTCCCTCATTTCACTACACACAGACAACCACGGACATCAATTCGACTGGGACAACGTTCAAATATTAGACAAAGGAAACAACAAGAATGCTAGAGAATTTTTAGAAGCTTGGCATTCCAGTGAATCATCAATCAATAGACACATCGAGATAGACAAAATTTATCAACCAATAAGAAAGAAACTTCACACACAAAGGGTCAAAGTTCAAGTCAAAGAAACAATCAGTTCCAATACAAGTAACCTAGAAGGTGTGAAAACACACAAAAACAACCAATCACGTCCAAGGTCACCAGGAGAAATGATTAATAAACTCGTGGAGAAATCTAAAAGCTCACTTCAACGAATTGAAGTATGCGCTGAAGATGTCACCTAGTAGGGTGATGAAAGCTTCGCAAATCAATCATCCAGATTAAATTCATGAATGGCCGGGACGTCCATTATCTCTTGAATTTTATAGGTAATAAAACACGGCAGGTTAGCATATATTCGATAGGTACCCTTATTATTATGGTCAGGGTTGACAGAGGGATAAATGTCAATCAAGTCAAGTCAGAATACAGCTTCACGCAACCTTCGTAAAATCATACTGGAATATGCTTCCATGTGGATAGCATTCTCTGGCTATGGCCAATGTACTTTATTCCATAATAGCAAATGAACTGAGTGATGTATACGGAGGTGGCCAGGTGATGAAGCTTATCTTTTAAATAGACTGAGAGCAACTGACGGCTGGTGAACGTCATTTATAATTTTGCAGCTAAGCACGTTTTACTGACCGATTTAGAGAGACGATTTCTGAACATATCTGTGAAGCTTGATCTCCTTTGAGTTTAGAACTCTGGAATATGGCTTTCTTTTAAAGTTAGTCAGTGGCAAGTTTGGATTGCTTATCTTTCGTGATTTTGTCAATAAATCGGTTAGGTTAGCTATAGAGCTTGATAACAGATTCGCTGAAAAGAGTCTGTTCGCTGAATATTGTGCTCTTATTTTAAATAATACACAAGTATTCTGTATCGAAAACTGGATGCTGTTTCGTGGACAATTTATTGTTTATGAATCATATCAGTAATACCAATGTGTATCATATAAAATTTTCAACCATAATTTTGTAGGGATTTTGTTTGATTGATTAGGGGATTTCATCATGAGCTGACATCAGCTAAATAACCACTGGAAAACCTGGGAGTACTGGATAGCTGTTTATTCCTAGTTTGGGACTCTACGTCAGTAAGCCTAATGGTCTACGATCCTTCCTTGTAACTAGAAGGTTCGGGGTTCGAACCCTGGCGGCTGCACACTGCTGAGGAGCTCCAAACGGGAGCGAAACAGTCGTCCAGTATTCCTAGGTTTTCCAATGGCTTTCTAACTGATGTCACTTCATGATGAAATCCCCCAACCAATAATATAAAATTAACTTCTATAATATTGAATTACATTTTAGCACAGTGCCTACATTCTTTACTAACACCAAATATTATTTCTGTCTCATTCTTATGTGTTTCTCAATTTCCTGATATTCGGTTATTTTACCTCCTTTTTTTTCTTTACTAGGTGACCATTGTCATGAAAACTTCACTGGTGGTTCAAAAGTTGATCTGAAAGCAAGAAAAAAACTAATTATGGCTAGTATTTTATGCTTATTTTTCATGACTGGGGAAATAATTGGTAAGTTGTCAGCAGTTCTCATAATTTCTCTTTCTTCCTACGCCTTTTTTTTGACTTAATTTTCTTTTCTTTTTGATTGACTGCGTTAATCCAAAATGCCTGGTCTCTGTTGATGCTTTGACAATATCTGAAAGGTAATATAACATTAGTTTTGACGGATAGTGACTAGCCGTAGAATCTTATTCGAGACTGGTCATCTGCAGCGTTTTGGTTCAACAGAATTAATCAGTGGGAAGTGAAAATTAGGCCGAAAACAAGTAATAGACAATAATTGTCTCACCTGAAATGGTTTCTATGGCACTCTTGGTCTATAGGATAATGATGTGGTGTTTGAATTGATGGGAACTCCATCTTTCACTTAATCACCAGGTATACACCTAGATGACCAGTCCCGAGTAGGGCAGAATACACGTTCTGGATTCCATTGCTAGTCACTGTCAACCCAAAAAGCATTATATTAATCTTTAGACATTGTCGTTACTGGGAGTCGACATGTAAGGTGAGGTTGAGCCTAAAACAATCGATTGACGAGGAATACAGATTTGCATAGAAACAAATCATTCTTCTGTCAATAAATTTCCAAGCTAGGGAGTAACGTATATCTATGGATAACTTCCAGGTGTAACTTAATTGGTCCTGCGATATCTGCTGATTGATACATTTCAGTGTATATGTTATATATTAGACGCTTTCAGTATAAATAAAGACAACTAAGCATATTCTTTTAGGGGTTACACTTGGTGGCTATTTAACTATCGTATGAGTAAAGTTAGTGATGACTACCTTTGAGATATCTCAGTTATATGTTAAGCAGCAGGTTCCGAGTGGAGCATTAGGCTTCTACAACACATCTCAACATTCTTCTATTTTTTGCTATCCTCTTCAGTTGGGTCCACGATTACCCATAATCTCTCATCTCCTCCTCGCCCGCACGATCTCATCCATTTCGCCCTCCCACTAACCACCCTTTCGTTGCTTCCTATTCGGATTCCACTTGAGCAGCGACCTGGCGTTCAATGTCATTCGACGACATCCCTAACGTATGCCCAGTCCACCTTCAATTTCTCCTAAATATTTGTTAAGCTATTGGCTCTTGGATGTTTAGTTACCACCCAGCGTTTCTTGTGCCTAGTTCTTTCTGGCCGGCTGGCCATTTCATCTTCAGTACAAAGTCAGTGAAGGCAACTCTTGATAATGTTAAGCAGTATGACTCGTTAAAATTTACCTCTCATCATATCAACATTAATACACCGAACATTAGGGATAATTTTTAAATTAAATGACTTAAAATCCAACAAGAAGTTATGGTCTGCTAGTTGTGGGAAGATTTGTTTGTTGTCTACAATCAGTGGTTGTGGCGATATATCACGAATTCACTGAATTATATGCTACCGTAAACGTACTCTGAATCAGGGTAATAACGTTGGTCTCAGTTCTTCTTCATCATAAACTTTCTGGGATATCCACTGTACATTATATTCATTCCAATGATTGCTAACTAATTCTCTATGTGTAACTCACTTGCTGTGATGAAGAACGTTTTTACCCGATTCCATTTGAGCTAACTGATGAAAAACTGTAATTGTTTGAGTAAAGACGACTCCTGCTTTCTTCTCTTAAGATAAAGTTTTTACTCTGATTCACTCGATTATTTCTTCATTTTATGGTAGGATCCAGAAAAATTGAGATGGCTGTCACATTTCTGTTCTACTGTTGACCTTATGTGAGGGTGAATCGCGTTAAGTATTTTCAGACGGTGTGGATTTACGCTTCAGGTTACTGCAAACAATAATACTAATATGTAGTCTTGATGATGTTAGATGGTCGGAGGCAGTCGGCAAGAAGCCTTGCTCAACCTAGGTTTCCTGCTAGTTGGCACTCACCAGTCAGTAAGACCTATCTCCAACCTTGAAAGAACTCATGTCCATTTTGAGATTCGAACTCACGTCACCTAGTGGTGCATTCAGAGACGTCACCGCTGAACTGTGTGGGTTAGCGATTGACCTCCTGTAGGACTGTAGTGGGTATTTTGATTGGACACTAGTAACTAGTGTGATGTGTCTAGTCCTTGCTGTTCGGTGCAGACTGAATTCTATCAGTCAGGTTTGCAATGTGATCACCATTCTAGGCGGCTCACCATCATGGTGCACTGTGAATTGTTGATATTAGATGGTTGGACGTAATACTTAATAGTATCCAACCAAAATATGTAGTCTTCTCTGTTTCTGGCTCACTTGTGTTTATTCAACTGTGTTACTTGACTTTGAAACAGTTCAGAGGGCTGTATCATTTCGAAGCGCTCAAATTCTGACTAGCTTCATGGGTGAACTGAATGTACATTGAATCAAGTTTGCTACCTTGGTATTGACTCGTGACTTGTAATTCACACAATTCAAGGTGATGAAGGATGCATGGTATAGAACTAAGTATATCACTTATTTATTAGTATATGACATCGGAGTTCATAGTTCAAATGATGTTACCTTCAGGTATTTCATCTGTGAACTGTAACCTCACCCTGTAAAACATGATGAACACATTCCCCACCACCTGTTTCACGTAGTTCAGTTATTAACTACAAAGCGAACACGGTTGAAAATATGAGATTGATGTCTACGTTTTTCTATTGATTGATTATACTGAACTGAAGTGTTCGATCTTTAATAAAAATAAAAATTGGGAATTAGAATGCCATAATGAAGAAAATTTTCTTTTCGACGAAGTCATCATCTAGGCTGTACATTCGTGTATTTATATCAAATGGATGGGAAAGTTCCAGAATAATATCCGGTCAAGGGTCAAATTAATAAAAATAAAAATTGGGAATTAGAATGCCATAATGAAGAAAATTTTCTTTTCGACGAAGTCATCATCTAGGCTGTACATTCGTGTATTTATATCAAATGGATGGGAAAGTTCCAGAATAATATCCGGTCAAGGGTCAAATTAATAAAAATAAAAATTGGGAATTAGAATGCCATAATGAAGAAAATTTTCTTTTCGACGAAGTCATCATCTAGGCTGTACATTCGTTCGATCTTTGTTGATATAGTGGCTTCCAGTACACAGGCCTTCGCATTACGTGAAGATAAGCATCATGTTTAAGTGTTGGTTTGTAGGGATTTGATTGATTGGTCAAAGTATTTCATCATGAACTGACATTGGTTTGAGAACCATTGGAAAACAAGCTTGCAGTACTGGACAGCTGTTTCATCAGCCTAGTTTGGGACTCTTCATCAGTACGCACCCACCGTGGTTTGAATATAGGACTTTCTAGTTACAAGGCTAGCGGGCCTATAGACCATTATTATCATTATTATTACTATTATTATTGTTCCCTCGGGTTCCCAGTGGAACATAGGGCTTCAACTGCACGTCTGCACTTGCTTCTGCCTTCTGCTGTACTTTCCACTTGCATCCATGTTAGTCCGTACTATTTCAACTCCTCTTCACATGATCTCTACTATGTCACCCTTGCATTGACTTCCCACTCGCCGCTTCCCATTCTGTAGTGGTTCCACTCGAGCAATTGCCTGACGCGCGATGTCACCCAGCGGCCTCCTCAGCGAGTGTCCGATCCATCTCCACTTTCTCCTGCATATTTTTTGGTTGACGACTGGTTCTTGTTTTGTTTGTTCCCATATTTTCTTGCTGGTGATTCTTTCCGGCCCGGCCATCTGATCTTCAGTATAGAGCCGGCGAAGACAGTTGTTGATGAAGGTCTGCAATAGCCCGTTGGAAATATTCTTTGTGACCCGCCCTCCAAGTTTCTGATCCGTATAGAATAACTGACTGACTTGACGTTTGTATTGAAAATCCGACCGAATTTTGTTGCTGATGCTGGCTGAGTGACGAAGATTTCCAGATTGGTTTCAAATTGGTGGTGAATGTGTTTCTCACCTTCCCGATTCTCGCTCGATTTGACATCCTCGTCCGTTCCGACTTCCTGTAGTTGAGACAATGCTCCCTAGATAAATGAGTGAATGAAGTAACCCCTTTCAAATCCCTCCCGTTGATGGTGATTGACGCTGGATGTTGCTTCTGCTGTTGTTGGCTGGTTATTTTCATAACCTCCGTCTTGTCTATGTTCATTTGGAGTCCTGTCTTTGCTGCTTCTTCGACCAGTTTGTCGGTTTTCGCTCACTTGTAAGTCTTCGACTTTGTGTGACATAAAACATAAATCATCCACGCACGAAATCCAAGTCTTCTAGGTTCTTCGTGTCGGTCCAGGTTATCCCTGTCTTCTCGTTTCCCACTGTCTGACGCATAATCCAGTCAGTCCACCACAATTAGGAATATCATTGGTGATAATAAGCACCCTTGTCTGACTCCTGCGTTTACTCCAAACGCCTCACTGAGTTTTTCGTTGTCGATCACTTGGAATGTGCCGCTTTCGTACAGCTACTGAATAAGTTTGTAGGCCATTAAGTCATGTTATTTGGTTGGTAGTAGTTAGGGATGGAATCTAGGATAGGAATTTCCTTCTACATGAGACTCGTGAAGTAGATGTACTCACATTCCCTATTGAGAGATAGTGTTTCTCCACATAGGCACGTAGGCGATAAATTCATTGCTTTATTCACTAGACCATAATTGCGACGAGAACCAGATGTTGTGAAGAGGGCTATCAGCTAATACTTGTTTATGCTGATGTGAATTTTGCATTGATCATTGTGTTAACACAGGTCAAACATTTCAGTCTAACCTTAATCAGTCAATGGGAAATTCACATAAATTTAAACGACAGTTAGTCATTTTATCTCTATCGACAGAAAGTATCTAAAGTACCACAGTCTGTCAAATTATAGACAGACAGAATTTGCAATAAAATGTTAACTGAAAATTATGAACTTCACTTGAAACTTTGTATCTAATAGGATAAAACAGAGAAAAAAACCAGATGATGGTGATAGTAAACAATTAAAATGTATTTAATTTTATTTGTTCAAATTAGTTTTGTAAAACGGATATAAGCAATTAGGATATTAAATTACACCACT